TGGGTAGCCCCCTGGGATATTTAATATTTTCCCTAATGGCTTTAATAGGGGACCCTATATACTAATATTTTCAATAGGTTTCAGGGGCCAACCTAGAGGTATCTTGAATTATCAGAAGCGTCACCCTCAGCCGAACAACATGGGCACATGGTATGAGGATGCGCTGCCCTCCAAATGAGCTATTGTCTAAACTCCCAGTATCCCCCTTAAGGAGCCCATAGTAGTCTTCTTTAAGATCCCCTAGGAGAACCCCTTCCCTTAATGAGCCCTATAGTCATCTCTTTTAAGATCCCCTATCTTATCCCCTTCAAGGAATCAGATTTGAGGATGCGCCATTCTCTAAACTCCTATCCCCCTTAATAACCCTATAATAGTCCCTTATAAGATCCCCTAGGAGCACCCCTGCAAGGAATTTAGACTTTAGCTCAAATCGTGAAGGTGTCGTCGCAATCCTCGTGGCCGTTGGCGGCCGCCGGACTGGTCACTCCCGTGATGGCCCCCCGGATGGGTCCAGAGGGTTTAGGTTTACTGGGTTTAGGGTTTAAGGGTCTAAGGGTCTAGGCTTTCGGGACTGGGGTTTAGGGTTTGGGGGTTTAGAGGTCAGGGATTTTGTTTAAGGTTAGGGTTTAAGGGGAATGTATAGTGGTACTGTGCTGGAGTGTGCGGAGGGTCTATACGGGTATAGTCGGGTATATAGAGGAATGGAAAAGAAAACGCAAACTACTGACTATGGTTTGGGGCGGTTTGCACTGTGCGGGATTCGATTACCGGCTGGTTTTAGGGTTTGTCGGAAATTCTAAACCTTTGACCCTGAACCTTTAGCCCAAAACCCTAAGTTTAGAACCCTAAACCCGAAACCCTGAACCCAATCCGCATCAGTTCGATTCTTGACAGTTGCCTTTGGGGTTGAGAGGGCTCAGGCTTTAAGGGTTTGGGGTGCAGGGTTTCAGGTTTTGAGTGTGCGATGGTCCAGGGGTTTTGAAGATACACCTGGGGCATCAGGGGGATTTTTCTTCTTATACCTTCCATAAGCCCTGTAATAACCCAGTTATCTCCATTACAACCTACGTACTAAGCCCCCCAACCCTCTAAGTATCCTGCTACGGGATGGTTTTTTCCTGGGGTTAGGGGCCTGGGGTTGGAGACTGCTGGTAAGCTGTTTAGGGTTTAGGGCTTAAGGTTTAGGGTTTAGGGTAGTAAAGGGTTGGGGGTTAGGGTTTAGGGTTGGGGGTTAAAAAGCTAAGAGGGGTGAAGGGAGAGAGGGAGGACGGGAGACAGTGCAGCCCTATACCCTAAGCCCTAAAACCTAAGCCCTAGACCCTAGACCCTAGACCCTCGGGCTTGGATCCCTGCAGCATGGAACTTAGCCCTTCAGCAGCAGGGCATTGGGACGCAAGGCTCAAGCTTATGTACCTTAAGGGTACAAACTTTCAGTCTTTGTTTAGGGTTCAGGGATTTCGGGTATATATTACTAACCCGAAGGGCACAAAGGACAACTGCGGATGGTCTTCATCTGCGTGGTAACCCTACACCCTATGCCCTAAAACTGACACCCTAAACTCTAAAGCTGAAACCCCTATACGTACCCTAAACCTTCAACCCTAAGCCAGTCTACCCGGGAATGTTTCAGACAGCTTGTTTTTTGTAATGAAATACGTAGTTCGTTTGATGTAATTAACAGTCCAGCATAGTCCGGCCTCTAGGAACCTAGACAGCCCAAAATACGGATTTAGGGTTTAGGGTCTAGGGTTTAGGGCTTAGGGTTTAGGATTTAGGGTTTAGGGTTTAGGGTTTAGGGTTTAGGCGGTTTAGGGTTTAGGGCTTCATTTCTAGACCTACATCCCCAGGGTCCGGCTATGATGAGAGCGCATGCAAAGAATGATATATATATATATACTAAAATGCATTATCCATTCGACGGGTTATGGTCCAAGATTTAGACGGGACTCTGTGTACAGGGGCTGAGGTGTTTAGGGTCTAGGGTTTAGGGTGTATGTTTTGGGCGAGTTTCCGTTTTAGATTTTGCCCTGTGCAATTTGTGTTTACCTGGGCTTGAGAGTTTAGGGTTGAGCGGACTCGGTGACGCCTGCATGCTTGGGCGCTCTATGAACAAGTTTTCCGAAAAAATCCTTGAGGTCTCCCTGAGGTGCCGAAGGGTTTTCTAAGCTGGGCCCCTCGCGATAGAATCACGATATAATCCTAAACGAGCATCTTAAATCCAATCGAAAACTGGGGAAAACGCTTTCGCAAACCGGGTGCCCACTCATTTCCACCCCAATACTAGAATTTATGCTGGTTTTTGGGACTCCCAAGCAAGCATCCCGATGTTTGTTGAAAACCCGAGGCGCTTCACCCTAAACGCATCAGCCAATGCCATATCTCCCCGTCAGGCGATTTCCCGTTCCTGGAAACGCCTAAATGCTCAATTGGCAAACCCCCAATCCCTAAACCCTGACCCAACAAAAACAGCTAGACCAGATCCTTTGCCCTTGCAGGCCATGATGGGCCGTTCCAAGAAGAAGGCCCAGTGCCCCGGCATGCACAAGCCTTTTTTCTAAGTGGCAGTGTAGGGATTAGCACCTGGGTCCTGAGTTTGGGGTTTGAGGTTCGGAGGCTTTGAAAACTCATGATTCGGGCTTGTGATTCAGCGGTGTGAGCTATAGGGAACAACTATAGGGTAGGGATATTAAGGGGGATACTAGTAGTTGAGACTATAGCTCATGTACAGTTGTAGGATGTACGACTTAGTTTAGAAAGGTTACGGTTTAGCGTCAGTTGTCTTTTGCAGGGCATGCCAAAGGACTTGGTGGTTGCAGCTGTATTTCCGTGAAGGCTTAAGCTTTTTCACCTTCAAGAATAACCACCTACCCCCGGGTAAGAAATGACCTCACAATATGTGATGTTAATCTGTTGTGAACATTCCTCTCGTACTAATCTTGACCACACCCCACCGCCAATATCAGCTATTTCCCATAAGAGACCATACAAGTTGGGGGAGACACCCTAAACCTTAAATAGTAGTTTCCATTTTCTTTTCCATTATCCCAATATAACCCCTATATATTCTATCCCCAAAAGGGTGGGGGGTGTATTCAAGGCAGCCCAAAGCCCTTAATCTGAATAGGGTAGCAGTTTCCATTTGCCTTTCCAGTCATCTATGTACCCCTATACCCTCTTTTTGTGGTTTAGTCTGACTATTTCAGCGGTAGAGACCCCATGCGGGCTAGTCTACTTGATTCATGGTCCGAGGTCCAAGATTCCTATGAAAGATGCGACATATGCCTTCCAGCGCGATGTCTACGCCGACTTGGAGTCCCTTGTTGGGGAGTATGCGGGGTTCAGGGTTTAGCAGGCTGTAATTGACCAAATTAGCACGACTCCACCCGACCTCACCCCCACTGGTGATAAGTTTTTCTCAGGATGTGGACTTATATGTGCTATAGTCCAAACTCCTAGTATCCCCCTGAATAACCCCAATTATACTCCCTTATATATTCCCCTATATAACCCCTTCAAGGAGTTTAGACTAGCTCATATCACATTGCATCTAGTATAACGGAATTTGGAAGAACGGATAGCGGCATTGTTGGCCCCATGTGGGGTTTTGTCCGAAGTATGGGTCCGGTGCAGCAGTACGAAGTAGATAGTACTTATGAACTTTAGACGACATTAGTTTTCTTAGTATTACTATGTTGATTACAATTCTTAGTATAAATATACCTGTTATTACTGTTAAAATTGTTATAGACTCAGAGCCCTGCGGCTGTAGGTTTATGACGATTCTCTCAGGTTTACCAACGATGTCGGCTACTTGCCGGACGGAACCCCGCTTAACAAAGCGGGCAACGCTATCAACCACCCGGAGACGATTGCCGCGGACAAGCACATCGCTGGATCCCCACTTCCTCGCGCGAAGTTTGTGAATTCCGTTGGGTACCTCCCCGATGGAACGCCGCTCAATGCGGCTGGCAATGCCATCAACCACCCTGAGACCATGCAGCCGGACCCTCATGTTGCTGGCTCTCCCTTGCCGCCTTCCTCCTACCTCGCGGACATTGGCTACCTGGCTGACGGCACGCCCCTGGCCACTGCGGGTAACAACTCCGTGAAGGGCGCTCCGGCAACACCACCACCTGCAGCTGCGGCTGCTTTCGTGGGCTCGAGCGTTCCTTCCCCACCGCCCATGGCCGCGTCCGCTCCGCCACCGACGGCAGCACCAACCAGCCAAGGAACAGCCATGTATGGCCGCAAGTTTGAGTACAGCTTCCAGAAGGATGCCTACGCGGAGCTGGAGTTCTGCAACGATGTGGGTTACCTGCCAGACGGCACTCCGCTGAACCGCGCAGGAAATGCCATCAACCACCCGGAGAACATTGGCCCTGACCGCCATGCTCCAGGATCTCCATTGCCCCGTGCCAACTTCGTAAATGCGGTTGGCTACCTTCCGGACGGCACGCCCCTGAACCGTGCGGGCAATGCAATCAATCATCCTGAGAGCATCCAGCCTGACATGCACACCCCGGGCTCACCTTTGCCAGCCTCCGTTTACGCCGCCGATATCGGCTACTTGGTGGATGGAACCCCGTTGGACACTGCCGGCAACAACTCCGTAAAGGGTGCTCCAGCAACACCACCACCTGCAGCTGCGGCTGCTTTCGTTGGCTCGAGCGTTCCCTCTCCTCCACCCATGGCTGCAACCCCTTCCCCACCTGCTGCAGCCCCTGCGGCCCAGGGTACGGCCATGCATGGCCGTAAGGGTGATTACAGCTTCCAGAAGGACGCCTATGCCGATCAGGCGTTCTCCAATGACGTGGGCTACTTGCCGGATGGCACTCCGCTGAACCGAGCGGGGAATGCCATCAACCACCCAGAGAGCATCGGACCGGACAGCCATGCTCCAGGATCTCCGTTGCCACGTGCTAACTTTGTGAACTCCATCGGCTACCTTCCGGATGGAACGCCCCTGAACCGCGCTGGCAATGCCATCAACCATCCGGAGAGCATTCAACCCGACATGCACACTCCGGGTTCGCCTCTGCCAACCTCCGTGTATGCAGCTGATGTGGGCTGCCTGCCTGCAATTAACCTAGAGGGTCCGCCTACCCACTGCAAATATAACAGGGGTCACAGGGGAGTTTCCTTGTATAGGGGGCCAGAAGATAGACCCTCAAACATTCTAATTAGTCCTCATTTTGGGACCCCCAAAAAGGTATCCCATTATCAGTTTTGGTAATTAGTTTTGGGAAATTCCCATAGCATTCCCCTAAATCCTAAACCTAAGCCTTAAACTGTATTCGGCAGCTCACTATGTGGGGGAAACCGTTCTGTGATAGGTCTTCCTGTTGGGCCACTTGGACCGTCAAAGTAGCTTCATATACTCTAGTCACGTGCTTACTGGTTCTCAGTCCGGAATACGGAAGATAGTCTCTATAAAACCCCTATAGAGCATATTCCCATATCCCTACATGGAACCAGCAAGTTTGTTGTTGTTAGAGTACATCCCATCACATCGCCAGGTCCCGACATGCTTCGGGCAGTCAAGTTATTGTGTGGAAAGGGGTCCAAGCTAGGGTTCTGCCCGAACAATCTGGCCCACATGTCACGGCAGACCCAAGAACAGGGATCGAAATTTTGACGACTCCCCCAGAATCAGAGGCGCCCCGTAGACTACAAGGTTCCTGAAAATAATTATTAACTTCTGTTACCAACAATCCTAATATTTAACTGAAATTATAATTTCTACTGGGGTTCCAAATCCCTTAGAGTAAAGACTGCGGATCTTTCAGGGAGGTGCAGGACTTTTTGCATGAATGGGGGGCATGTCCCCAGTGAGCTGTGCTGTGGACCTTGCCCTAAGGGTCCAAGGACCCAAATAATAGGGTTTTAGGGCCCAAATACCATTAATATTATACTATTTGGGCCCCGGAACCCTGAAATTTGGGTCCTTGGACCCTTAGGGTTGCGGTCCTAAGGATACCTCGTGGACGGCACACCTCTCGAATACGCCGGAAACAATTCTGCAGCTTGTCGATTGTTTCATGCCTCGAGCGGGAGGAATGGGTGGCTCTCAGTGGGTTTTGCTCACAGTTTATACGCCTAATATTCCTCTCAGACCTATGTACCAAAATGTGATGTATACATATCTCTGGAACTTGGCCTACATGACGATTCCCAAATGGGGCATATTAGCGTAGGGACGCGGAGTATACCAACTTTAGACCAACCTATGAGCTACAGAAAATCGCAAGTCCAGAGTTACGAACTACTATAGGGTTTATCAAACATACTCGCTATTGCTTCTCCCTTTAAACCCTAAACCCTCCAACTCAGCTGAACCAAGCTACCATAGTATGGATGTATGGCAGCTTAGGGTTTAGGGTTTAGGGTTAAACCCTAAAACCTTAAACCCATGAATACCCTTAACCCTACACCCTGGGGATCCAAATAGCCCAATGTAGGTAACATTCACAGACATTAGGGCCCAATTATTACTTGTATACTTGGATCCGTAGGGTAAACCCTAAACTCCAAACCCTTGACTACCCTCAACCCTAACCCTTGAATGTACCTTCCGCAACAGCAGGGTAGTTTCCCAAAATAGGGGACCATAATATAGACCCCAAACGACCGAATAATTCTTATTATAGGGCACCCCAAAATGGTATCCCCTAAACTACCCTAAACCCTAAACCCCACATCGCCCTTGACTGCTTAACTCTTCCTTCGTCGGAGCTTGGCCGCCTAGATGGTCGAGGATCTTATTTCAGACCAGCAGCAAGCTAGGACTGTAAGGTGTAGGCTTTGGGGTTCAGGGTTTAGGGTTCAGAAGTTAGGGCTTAGGGTCTAGGGTTTGCGACTGCCGCGCTTGGAGGGCGTTTGTCTATCAAGGAGTCACACGTTGGACCCTTCTAACTGCAGTCTCCTTAGGACTTGTTTAAATTTTCATATAGTATAACCCTAAGGAATTACCAAAAATACATGTTTTTATTATAGGTCTAAGGGGGCTCTAGCTGAAACCCCATGGGCCGCCGATGTTGGTTTCATGCCTTGTGACTGCATGGGTTGTTCTCAGAATTTTGGGCCCTTTTTGGGTATGGACCATATTACGGCACCAATGTAGGGGTATCAAAACGGGGTTTTAATGCTGGGACCTACCCCCATGGAGACCAGAATGCAGAGGGTATAGTTCCATTAAGATTCCTGGGTTTTGCTCTGTTACATACAATATACATATGTGCATATACACACACATATATATTTATATACATGTACATACATATTTACATACGGTAACCGGTAACCAGAGCACCCATGCCCAAACCATAATAACGTTCGTGGTTCGAGAGCATACGGTAACCAGAGCATCCATGCCCAAGCCATACTAACGTTCGTGGTTCGAGAGCATACGGTAACCAGAGCATCCATGCCCAGACCATAATAACGTTCGTGGTTCTAGAGCATACGGTATACAGAGCACCCATGCCCAAACCATAATAACATTCGTGGTTCAAGAGCATGCGGTAACCAGAGCACCCATGCCCAGACCATAACAACGTTCGTGGTTCGAGAGCATACGGTAAACAGAGCACCTATGCCCAAACCATAATAAAGTTCGTGGTTTGAGGGCATTACAACCCCATTACAACCCCCAAACCCTGCAAAGGAATCTTAACGAAATATACCGAATACAGAATAGACCACAAAACCCCGGCCAAAACCCCTTTAACTAATCCTTTTGAAGCTCCAAACCTTAAACCTTAAATCCTATTAACTTTAAACCCTACCCGAACCCCGAAAGTAGGCAACATAACAGCCCCAAACCCCTTAAAACCGACCAAAAGGTAATTATTCTACACGTTAAATATTTTTGGGGTTCACCTAAACCCAAAACTCTAAACCCCAAACCTTAACCCTAAAACCCTAAACCCTAAACCTCATGCCTTCCCAGCTTCTCAAGGTGAAGATGGCTCCGCCCGCCGGTGCTGCCCCAACGCCGGCTGCAGCCCCTGCTGCAACTCCAAGCGGCTCAGTATGACCCGCAGTTAAGGGTTTAGGGTTTAAGCTTTAGGGCTTAAGGTTTAGGGCTTAAAGGGTTGAGATGGTAAGATTAAGGTTTAAGGTTTAGGGGTTCAGAGTTTAAGGTTTAGGGTTTAGGGTTATGGGTTTAGGGTTTGGGCCGCTTCGCAGACTGAGGGCTTTGTTTCCTTCCAGGATCCCATAAGTTGGTTTTTTTGAGGATAGTTAGGCCTAATCGAGGGTAAGTAAGGGTGACCTAAGGGGTAGCATTGGGGGAAAGTGGGGGTAGCCAGGGCTTGGGGTTTCGAGATTTTGGACGTAGGCCTTGTAGGGTTTACTAAGGCTTGCTGGGTTAGTGGAACTTGCTCAAGGCTTCCAGGGTTGAAGGCGTAGGTATGCAGGTTTGCAGGTTTCGTGTCAAAGCTAAAGGTGTCGGGCTTGGAGTTTAGGGCTGGGGACTCAGGCTGTAAGACTTATATTATAGACCTTCACAGTATAAAGCAGCATAATGTTTAGTGCGTTCGAAGATGATTTGGATGAGGTCTGGGAAGGGGCCCAGATGTGGGAAACCCTAGTCCTATCGAAAGAGATGAATGGCTTCAGTTGAAACAGGCTCTTTTACATGTATTGTCCCCCGAAAAGGCATTTCATAGAGATTCTCAAGCGGGGCCCTCTATTTTGTTGCAAAACCCCCACGTAATCCTGGCCCTTTAACATCCATTCATAACCAATGTAGGGTTTAGGGTTCCCCTAAGCCCTAAAACCTTGAACCCTAAAGCCTAAGCCTTTAGGGTTCATCCTAAAAACCCCTCTAGAGTGGGAAGCGTGCGTAAAGTGCACAATCCTGACACTCCGTTTCTAGCTTCTAGGGTTTAAGGCCTATAACCTTGAAACCCTAAGTCCTGAGCCCAAAGCCATCAAGGGTTTAGGGTTTAGGGTTTAGGGTCCAAAGCCATCAACCCCAAAATCCTGAAGCCTTCAGATGATCCAAAACCCCTAAACTCTAAGCCATAAATCCTAAACGGTAAGTCTTAAACCTGAAAAATCCCCAAGCCCTAAACCCCTGCGGGAGCCCTGAAGAGACTCTAAATCCTAAGGCCTTTAGGGTTTAGGGTTCCCCGCAAAATCCCAGAGCCCTAAACCCTAAACCCTTGATGGCTCTACCCTAAACCCTAACCCTAAACCCTAAACCCTAATCCTCGAGCCCTAAAAAGACTCAGGCCAACCTGTGGTCGCCGCAGCTTTCGTGGGCTCCTCGGCAACAACGACGAAGAATGTGAGGCGCGAGCAGCAACATGAGCCATACTCTAAACTCCTTAAAAGGGGGATATATAGGGGAGTATATAGGGTACTACTATAAGGGTGATTAAGGGGGATACTAGGAGTTTAGACAATTGCTCACATGTTTTGGGGCTCAGGGTTTAGGGCTCAGGGGGGCGTGTTCCCTGAAAGGGTTTAGGGTGTACGTTCCGAGTTTAGGGCTTAGGGTTTAGGGTTCAGGGAAAGGTTCCCTAAGATGCTGCAGGGGTCCAGGGCTACGGGGGCCTCAGACTTGCCGCCTTACACAGGGAGAACTGTCAGCGTATCAGCAGCAACAGGGGCGGGTAGGAGGAACATGGGGTACCCGTCATCAAAATGTAGGAACAGAAAGCAATGAATATAATGCGTTCTAAGTGATGTTCTTGAGCTCCAACACCATCCCGCATGTTCTTCGCAGATTTAGCCTGTTGGGCTCCTAAAGGGCACACCCATGTTGAAAACCACCCTGCACCTTAAACCCTGGACCCTAACCTAAACCGTAAACCCCAAGCTCTTCGGAAGGCACAGTGTGGGATTCGCCTACACTTTCCAGCGAGACGCCTTTGCGGACTTGGAGTTCAGTTGCTCGGCTGTCTCAATTTGAGAGGTTCCTGACAAATTAGCAATACTTTGGGGGTTCACGTTGCATTGGAATTCCTTTCAAGTTAAGGATCTGAAAGATAAGTTTTTGGAGGCCCCGTGTGGTGTACATCAGGACTGCACGGATCAGAAGCTACTAATCCAAAAGCGACAGGGCGCGGCTCGAAAGTGCTGCCATAGACTATCATATGCGAGCTTATTTAAAAAAACAAGTACAAAATCCCCAATGAGAACCCAGTGTCTCGTCATAATCTTTATATATCCCGGCTGTCTCTAGGCCCCCGCTTTGTAAGAAATTCCCGCACAAAGGCAAGCATGCAGACAAAAGACATTGCCAACAATATAGGGGTCCTTCTCAGTTCCTTCTCAGAAGTTCAATGCACGCTAATCAGGAATATTCTTCAACTCGTATTAGGGATCCGAATATCATTTAAAGCTAGATTGAGGTATTACTTTGGGTTGAAAGTAAGGCTGGGACAAGAATCTGCATTGTGTCAAGGTTTGAGGGTTTACCTTAGGTGGACCCCCACCCTGTAATAGTGGCATAGTTGGAATACAAGAGGAGCCTAAGATATTCGGCTTTCCATTTCAGATGCGGGTTGGCCCGAAGTCATCCCATTTGGGTGGTTTTTTGCCAAAATCATGGGTCCCTTTTTCGGGGGTCCCTACAGTACGGACTGTAGTATTGTTGGGACCCCTTATTTAAGGGAATCACCGTGTATACTTGAAATTCCAGTCCTTGCATGGCTTGGGGCTTAGTGTTAGGTGGTGTTGATGGATGCTGTTTGGAATCATGCATATGGCCAGTCCGAAGCAGAGATTGAACACCTACCGGACCCTTCCAACTGCAGATTCGGGAAGGCAAATTTGGAATGTCATAGGGCGCAGGCGCTCCACCCACTAATATCATTAGTACTAGTATCGTCTCAGGGCTATTTAGCAGAAAACAAAAGACCTCATCTGGCCCTTCCCCCTAAGCCTTCGCATAGGCCAAATGTAATTATTATGCTGGGCAATTTAAAGCGACCTCACCTGACCTCACCCTAAATGGTGGCATATATAGGGAATAATACCAAAATGGCTCTAAATTGGGAATTGAAACTATTCTAAATTACCCTGTTATGTCTACACTTTAGGGCTCAGAGTAGGTTTGATTTATAGAACCTAAACCCCAAAAGTATGTAAAATAATAGCCCTAAATCCATAATAACAGCCATAAGGGCCATTATTTTACATACTTTTGGGGTCTAGGAATACACATTGCTTTTGGACTTGGAGCCCCGGGGTTGGTAAAGCCAGTGCCCCTCTGTACAGTACCGGGCCAGGTCAGAAACGCACTTCTGGGTTGTTGTTAAGGAACTAGGGTTTAGGGTTTAGGGTTTAGGGAGGAACTTAGTTTAATTTACTATTTTTGGGCAAACCAGATTAATTACTGTATATACTACGTATGGTAACCCTAATCCCTAAACCCTATATACCCTACATACATACCCATTATGGTCCTAAACCCTAAACCTCAAACCCTGAACCAGTTCCTTAACAGCAACCCGGATTCTTCGGTCTCCCAGGCAATGACATTGGCTACCTCCCCGACGGAACGCCAATCAACCGCGCTGGCATCCTTGCCGGATGTTTAAGTGGGTTTGAGGTTTAAGGGGATAATATAAGGAAATATAGGGTTTTATAGGGATAATGGAAAAGAACATGGAAAGTACTACTACATCCCCACAGGATGATTAAGGGGTTTGGGGTTTAAGGTTTAGGGTTTGGGGTTTAGAGTTTAGGGTGTAAGGTTAGGGGCTTAGCATTAAGGGTTTAGAGTTTGGTGTTTAGGGTTTAGGGTTCAGGGTTCAAGGTTTAAGGTTCGGAGTTTGGCGTTTAGGGTTTAGGTTCGGGGTTTACGGTTTAGGGTCTAAGGTTTAGGGTTTAGGGTAGGAAGATGCCCGCCCCTGAACTAGCTAGAACTCAAACTCAAAGCCTAAAAGAGGAGCCCTCTGTGGACTACTGTCCTGGCTAATGCACAACATAGTCTAAACTCCGTAAAGGGGGGTTATATAGAGGATTATATAGGGGACTGTCATAATGCTTATTAAGGGGGATACTAGGAGTTTAGACTATAGTTCATATGGGGTGTCATGTCAGTTTGGAGCAAACACTATTTATCAAGGTGAAGCCCAGCCGTAAGACCCTAGATTGCTTGGCAGGTCATGGGTGTTAATAACTAAGGTTAAGTGATATGCCTGCTTATTTGGGGTACTTAGGACTACCCATGAACTTCAGCTTGTCGAAGTAGTTCAAGGTATACCATCCGCCTTGAAACGTTTCGGTTGTTGCCATCACGATGATCCCTCCGACATACCCTTTTGCAAGAGTTTACTCAACAGCCTGGCACACGGTCATTGAACTTAACTCTCTCCGGCTAAACCTTTGGGGATAAGGGCTTAGGGTTTAGGGCTTGGGGTTTAGGGTTTGCGCGTGTGTCCCTAAAGAAAGGCACTTTTTCTGAGGCAATGCCATCAACCATCCGGAGAACATCCAGCCGGACAGTGCCTAGCATGAAGAGTTTAGGGTTGCGGGTTTAGGGTCTTGGGTTTAGGGTAGGGGTTTAGTATTAGGGGTTTAGGGCTTCAGAGCTTGGGATTTGAGGTGGCTGCAGGCGTAGCTTTTGAAATTCAGGGACACAGTGTACTGAGTTGTTTTGCTTCTTTTTCGTAGCAGCACCTTCGCAAAATGAGGATTTTCAGACTCATGTGACGCTTCCAGCTTGTAGTCGTGCTCGGCCACCTAAACCCTGAACGCTTAATTATAAACGCTATCGTGCGCCCGCCTCGGCTGGCGGGGCGCGGAGCACACGAATAGGTCATGGCATGTAGTTGACACGTGGGGTTTAGGGTCGAGGGAGTAACGGAGGCAAGCCTCACTTCAGACGTGTTTGTTGCATGCCTGTTCCAGCATTCATGGAGGGGGTTGGCTGGGCTTAGTCCAT